ATCAGCTACGGAATTCGATTTTCCGCTGATGTGTTCAATCTCGAAATTAAAATTGGAAAAATAAAGCGCATATCTTTTGATCCTGTTTGCGTACATAGGATTAATGTCTGATTTCTTGCCAAATATACTAATTAGCGACCTTTGATCTGTTTTTAGAGTGAATTTCTTGCCGTATAAATATTGCTCAAATTTGTTAATACCAAAATAGCAAGCTAGCGCCTCTTTGTGTACCGTCGAATAGTGCCGTTCCGCATTGCTATAAGTTCTTGATACACACGCGACTGTACGTTCAACACCGTTAACATTGTGGGATAATATAGCTGCTATACCTGTTTCAGAGGCATCACAGGTTACTATTATTGGTAATTCTGGGTTGAAGTACATTAACACATTGTCTGATAAAATAACTTCTTTAATTTTTGAGAATGCATTCTCGCAAGCTTCTGACCATTGAAATCTGGCGTTACTTTGAAGTAACTTGTACATTGGTGACAATATATCTGTGATATTAGGTACAAACTTAGAATAATATCCTACCATGCCTATGAATGATCTAAGTTGTGTGATATTTTTTGGTTGTGGTGCATTTGAAATAGCTTTAACTTTGTCTTTATTTTTAGTTAATCCTGCAGCTGTTAGATCAAAACCTAAATAAGAAATTCTATCTTGACTAAATTTACACTGATCAAGATTTACCGTTAAACCTGCATCAGATAGTATTTGAAAAACTTTCCGTAATATTAGCATGTGATTTTCATTTGCTCTATGACCTACCAATATATCATCTTGAAATACAAAAACATTATCTACACCTTGAAAAATTTGTTCTATATGTTTTTGACAATAAAAACTAGCACATTTAATTCCAAATGGCATACGATTCATTTTGTATAATCCCTTATGTGTGGATATTGTGACTAAATGCTTTGACTTCTCATCTAATTCAAATTGTCGATAAGCGTCCTTTAAATCGATTTTAGAAAATTTTACGTTATCGTGCAATGATGCAAAAATCTGTTCAATTTTTGGTAAAGGGTAATACACATCCTCTAAACATTTATTTAGCCCAATATAACTACCGCAAATTCTGACATTACCATTTTGCTTTACAACGGGTACAATATAGGAAGACCACTCACTCGTAACAATAGGTGAGATGATATCCTTTTGTTCCAATCTCTGTAATTCAGCTTCGATTTTATCTTTTAAAGCGAGAGGTATCGACTTTGGTCGTTGATGAACCGGAATAACATGTGTTTGTAATTGCAGAGACACCGTAGCATACCTGAATTTTCCAATTTCATCCGTACACGCTTCAGGAAATTCCTGCCTTAGTACCTCAGCGACATCTGCCTCTCCTAACTTGTTCACTCCTACAAAATTTTCTATTAGATTAAATTTGTCTATAAAATCCCTGCCTAATATGTTCACAGTACCATTACTAATTACATAAAAATTTAAATAATGCGACATTTTGTTATAGTTTACTTTTACATTTACTATTCCTATTGTAGTTATTAATTCGCCTGTATAACCTCTAAAATTTGTACTACAGCTTTTCATGGTAACATTAGACAAATATTGATCATAGAAAACTCTGTTAATAGCTGACACTGGCGATCCACTATCTAATTTCATTGTGACTAACTGATCATTGACTTTAACAACTATTTTTATCGGCTTTATACCTACACTACTAATACAATCTATCGTGTTGATCGCATCACCCCCCTGATACTGATTACTGACCTGTTCGTTTTCTTCACCCAAGTTCATGTAATTTACCGCTTTGCCTCTTGTTCTACACATGGATTTTAAATGTCCTATCTTGCCACAATTGTTGCACCTGTATTTCATGTACTTGCATAATCCTCCATGGTTTTTTCCACATCTTCCGCATTGTCGCTCTTGGGTCTTCATGCTTGTTTTGTTTTGTCTGTGGTTTTTGTTGACTGTCCAAGCCCTGGATGGTCCCTGTTTCCCTGGTTGGCTTTCACTGCTCTGTCCTCTCTGTTGTTCTTTTATGACGTGAATATTTCCTCCATTCTCATTTCCTTTATATGAATTTGCCATCGCCGTCTCCTTTGTAATCGCGATTTTCACAAGGTCTTCAATCTTCTTGGTCGCGTCTTCTTCAACTAGACGATCTAACACCGCTCCTTGTCTCATACCCGATATAAATCTGTTCACTAATACTTCCTGCAGTGACTTGAAAGCGCAATTTATTGATAATCTTTTTAACCTCGTGTACCAATCTAAACATGTTTCATCGCTGTTTTGCGTTGCCTTGTAGAATGTTATCCTTTCCCTGAACACATTTATCGGGATACTATACTGTTCCTTGAGCAACTGTACCAAATCCTCGTAGCTTTTGTCTTTTGGCATGTCCGGAAAGCACCTGTCCCGTATCGTTTTGTACGTTTCCATTGAGAGATAACTAATCAGCACTGCCACTTTTTTTGTTGGTTCGATAGCGTTTGCATCACAATATTGCTCGAAGAGTTCATTATAAATAGTAAAATCCATAGATGCGTCGTACCTTTCCATTGACCCAATATTCTTCGTCTCTCCCGTCATGGGTTTTATTGGTTAACCACGTGTTTCTCTGGAGATAGTACTTACGACTTTTTTTCTTCACTTCTACACGACTTTTTTCTTCACTTCTACTTTGACCTGATCTTCAGTTTATCCTCGTCGCCATGGTATGTTTGGTAATAATACGCACATTGGTTATTATTCTATATTAAGGTTGAAATGACTTGTGTTAACAGCTTGATGGTTGGAGGATGAGAGAGCGTTGAGAAGCCGAACATTACAATTCAAGCCTATGGCATGCGCAGTACCCTTAGTGTAATACTTGCGTACATACCATATATTTTACTGTACGTGTATTCAGTATGAAATATTTTAAAAATAATTACGTTAAAATATCTTAAATATGACAAACATTGTATCAATGTTAAATCTTAAATAATTTATCCGAACTAAATGTGCTGTGATTTGATTTGATGTTGACACTTGCATAACCTTATAATAAGTTATTGAAAAGTGTCTCAGTTTAATCAGTTTTGTGTTAATAGTTATCACAAACGGTAAGTATTGGGGTGAAATACGTTAATTTTAGACTTTCAATGCATAGATGTCCCATCCGTTATCAAAAACGCGGAAAGTTGAGAACTTGAGTAAAACTCCGCCTTTTAAATCAATTTGTTAATGCTTTTCTCTATTTAAGTACAAGTTCTTCTCAAAATTTTATTCACTTAAAAATTAAATAACAACAAGTAAATAATTTGATTTTTTTAAATCTGTCCCGTCCATTATCATAATTCTGATCTTTAAAAACATTTTTCCTTAACTATTATTTTATTATGACGCTTCTTCATTTAATGTTATTCTAGGTATGAGTGTCGAGGTAGTACGTAAAGAAAAAGTACGGCAAGCAATGCGTCGCTACCGGCAGAGTATTAACGCGGATCCTGTAAAAGCAAAGTGGTACCGCGAAAAAGATGCCCAAAGAAAACGCGCAGAAAGGGTTGTTGAAAGAAGTTTTCTTGTGAAAAATCCTACTCTACATAAAATTAAAAAACATAAAGCACCAGAACGTAAAAGAATCTACAGATTAAAACTAAAAGAAACAGCAAAACAAAAAAAAAGAAGCAGTATTTCCATATAAGTGTCCTCAATCATTGGGAAAAGCTGTGAAGAAAGTAAAAAGCGTGCTGCCCGCGAGTCCTCGTAAACGAGAGGCAGTAGTTAAACAACTGCTTTTTCAAATACAACCTGCAACCTCAAAAGCATCTACATTTGCAACTAATTCAGCGCGGGCCCTTACGAAAGAAGAACAAAAAAAAATCGTCGACTTTTATCTTCGTGATGATATCAGCAGACAGGCGCCCGGACAAAAAGACACGAAAAGTGTTAAAAACGTATCTTCCGGTAAAAGAGAAGTCTTTCAAAAACGTCATATGGTAATGGCAGTAAAAGAAGCATTTGTTTTATATAAAGACGAATATCCAGATTGCAAGATACATATAAGTAAGTTCTACAGCATGAGACCTCAACATGTGTTATTGTCTTCTGAAACGCCTCATAATGTGTGCGTATACAAATATCACGCAAATTTTAATTTTATTGTTGAAACACTTCATGAACTGATACCAATTTTTCCCGCAACTGGGAAAGAACTTTTAGAGCATATCTGTTGCAATACTCAAAATGAAGTATGTATGTACCTAATTTTGATACTTGTCGTGTTTTTAAATAGTTTACGTTTGAATAAAAAAAATTGATTTTGTTTGTACCATCCGTTATGTCTTGTCCGTTACCAACACTAGTTGTTATGAAACTTCGATACAATAACATACTACGAGCTATCAAAAAAAATATTGTGTCAAGCAATTGTTCAATCTTAGTTTATTTCACATTTGTCAATTTCATAGTTAATACTTACAGTAATTCGCAGAAAATTCTGATTAAATTTACTAAAGTTTTCACGGTGGGTAATATCGTGTCCCATCCGTTATCACTTTTCAAAATTTTTTCATTGGTCACAACAGCAGCACGTGTCATCCATAAGCGAATATCAAAAGGCTTTATATTAAATTTGCTAATATTTCTATATTTTGTTTTATTTATTATAACAATAATACTGTAAGAAATGCAAAATTAACAAATAATTTTGCATCCACATGTCCTGTCCGTTATCATGGAATGGCTGTAATACTAGAGGTTTATTGATTACTACTTAACAAATATTTCTTTAAACTCTTAATGTATCAAAATTATCAATTAATTATCAATTATTAATCAAAAGACTTACCTTGTTGTTGCATTTTTTGCTCGTGTGTACCTGTGTGAAGAAAAAAATATATCTTCTTTTGAAATGAAATAAATTTTTAGGAAATTCATTTATTCTTGCAGTAGACATACAAATTACAAAACATGGTACAGTTTTTTATTTGATGTACTTGGAATTTCTTCAATCATTGGAGGATTTTTTTTGTTTACTAAAGTTCGTGTCGGTAGTTTCCGTTTGTTTTTTTTAATTTTTGTTAGGTAGCTGGGGCAATTGGGAAAAATTGTGGGTACCGAGTTATGTTTCAATTTTGGATTAACATACGGAATCACTACCTATTAAAACAAACTTAGTGATGAAACTGCTAGGTGCCACAAATAACAATAAAGGTGGATTTATACACATCAATTTAGCATTCAAGATTTAATTTAGTCTAAAATTTACTGTATCAGTACGACTTTAGATAAAAAAAAATAACTTAAAATTCACCAATAATACAAAACCCTCAATTTTCACGTGCGTTCTCTTCAAAAAAATATAAAAAATATTCGTTAAATTATATTTTAAATGTTATATTGGTTTGCATAAATTCACCCTAAGTCATTGTTCATGAACTCACCGAGCCTGATTGCCATTCTCTCAAGATACAATCCGATGTGAAATGTTTCTCACATAAAACATCTCAAACTGACAATTGCCTATCAGCCCGGGGAATATTATGTTGCCATTTCTTTAATAATTCTGGATCTTTAGGGGCACGAAAGAAACTACATTTTTCGTTATTACTTTTGTAGCCACTTCTACAGTTTGGTGCGAAACATTTATTGTTTTTGGGGCTCATCTTCAAAATATAACCTATACAAATCGGACTGTACTCATCATTTGCGTTGACTACTCACGTTACACTATATGCTGTTAGCTTTGTATATGATAACTATTGTTTATATGGTTAAATAGCAGCTCAACATTCGTTTTTTTCATAAAAATTAACACAAATACACGTACCAACTACGTTAAAGTCGGGTGCCGCTGTACCACTAGCGCCGCGGAAACTCAGCGGCACAATGTGGACTACGTAGTTCCTTCTCCTATTTATTTATCCTTCTAGGCTAAACGAATTAAAACTCTAAAAGATTGCACACGGTGCAAATATAATTGTCGCTCAAAGATTACAAATGCGGAACAAAAAAATAGTAATTTACACAATTGGTTCTGGATAGCCTGCGACCGAAGGGAGTGCCGCATTTGCGTGAATGCGGGAAGCAGGCTCACAAACGTGTTGTGTACCATATTTGTTGCAACGAATAAACCTTTAAATTGAAAAGATTAACTGTGAGTTATTTATAAACAACGGTATTGACAGCGCCGTCAACACGCCACAATGTTGACACTACCCAACTATTTTAAGGTTACTATGGCAACGGAAAGTTAGAATGCACGTGTGCGGGAAATTCGATCTCTCGCACCCTGGTGAATGCGCGAAAGCCATCAAAAAAGGTCAGAAAAACATATTTCAAAACTTTTATTCTCTATCAGAAAACGAGAAAAGAATGTACTACATAATTTCAACAACACAAAACGGGCCATTCGCCAATTCAAGAAATAGATAATGTGCATATCTGGCTTATTATAAACTTCTTGAAATGCGATCTGAGGGTATTCTATGGACTCCCCGTTCGCCGGTACTCACGTGAACACGTTTTACAATTGAATACATGTAAAGTTTATTGTTAATAATAACGCCTTTTGGCAACTAATAGGTGTGAAGCGAGTTTTCTTTTAAAGATAAAACCCAACAAATAAACCGTGGTGTAACAGTGGCGTTCCAACTCGGGCTCGAAGTGAAAATTAAGGGAAAACGTTAGTACGAACAGAATTCGAAAAGTGTTGTGCACCTTGGCATTAGGTCTAACACGCATCCGGATTCGATAGGGTCTTCTAAAGTTGCACCCGGGGAGGACGGAAATTCGTGGCATTTCGAAAAGTGAACGACAGACGCGTCGTCACTTTCGCGAATATCCGTGATTATATTTGAACTTTCGGAGGACATTCTCATGGTCACCGCCATTTTGAATCTAGGACTTTCGTGTTTCGCAGCGCGCGCTCCCTGGTGAACGAGACGTTCGGGAAATAACGCGCCGACGCATCTAGTGACTTCGTTGCAAACCGTTGCCGGAACTGTTCAATTTTGACATATTGGACAGATTTGACGTATGTCAACGAGTAAACGAATTGAGGTTAACCGCTATAACTTCAGGTCACGATCCACCATAAATAAGGAAGATCCGGAACCAAGTGAACGCGATGAAACGATGCCGGACAATATTGTATTGACCCCGGAGCAATTCAGCCAGCTCCTCAACAGCATGAAGACCATACTTTCACCTCCAGCCGGATCCTCTTCGAGCGGAGTACCTCCACGTCCGACGCCAGGGACACTCGCAGAGTGCAAATCCAGATTCTCGGGAGGTAAATGGGAGTCTGTCGACGCATTTTTAGACGCTGTCGATGTGTACAAAGGTTGTATAAATGTATCTGACGATGACGCGCTGAAGGGAATGCCGATGCTCCTGGACGACAACGCAGCAACGTGGTGGCAAGGTGTAAAGGATACCTTCAACAATTGGGAGGACGCCATGAAAGCGCTGAGACACAGCTTTGGTGAGGACAAACCGCCGTACAAAATATTCAAAGAGTTATTTTCCAGAGAACAATCCCCTTCAGTGGCGCTTCCGCACTGTACAAACGACCTGGTTTCCACTTCATAGCGAAGAGGCAGTAACCCCACGTTCTCGTGAATACTGTAAGCGTGGAGCCACTAAGGTCCGACGAAGGCACCAGTCTCTGTGAACAAGAAAAGTTTCGGCTGTCCATCCTTCTGGATCAGAATAAGACGGCTTTCGAACGATACGAAGACTCAACACCATATGCGGACCACTGCATCAACTTCACGGACGACGTTCCGATAGCCATACCACCGTATCGTTTATCCCCTCAAAGGCGAGAGGCTCTTCAAGTAGAGATCCAGAAGATGCTTGACGACCGGGTCATCGAAGAGTGCGAGTCTCCATACGCGGCACCTGTGGTCATGGTTCCAAAGAGAGACGGCACCCATCGCGTGTGTGTGGACTACCGAAAATTAAATCACGTAACTGTCCCAGATCGCTATCCCCTGCCGCGAATTGATGATGTGCTCCATGCTGCCAAACGAAGTTTTTACATGAGCACTATCGATTTGAAAAGCGGGTTTTGGCAGGTCCCCGTTAGGATGGAAGATCGTGAAAAGACAGCATTCATAACGCTATTTGGCCTATACCGTTTTATCCGAATGCCATTTGGCTTGCGCAATTCGCCAGCCACCTTCCAGCGGCTTATGGATCGGTTTAAGACTGGTGTTCCTGGGGTATGTTTGCTGGTGTATATGGACGACTTGATCATTCTATCAGAGACGTTCGAAGAACACCTGAGTGACCTGGAAAAAGTGTTTGAGCGACTACGTCAGTTCAGACTAAGTGCTAACCGGAAGAAATGTGTTTTCGCCCGTGCCGCCGTAAAGTTTTTAGGACATGTAATTAGTACTGGCGGGATCTCCGCCGACCCTGATAAAGTATCTGCGATTGTGGACATGCAACCACCAAGTAATGTCAAGCAACTAATGTCTTTCTTGCAAACGTGTAGTTGGTTTCATCGATTTATACCTGAGTTTTCAAATGTGGCTCGGCCCCTAACTACTTTAACTAAGAAGAAGGCGCAATGGACGTGGGGTGCTGCCCAAGAAGAAGCTTTCGACAAATTGAACAGGCTGTTAGCGATGGCTCCGATCCTCCGACAAGCTGACCCAACATTACCGTACATCCTCAAGACGGATGCCAGCTCGTTTGCTTTGGGTGCTTGCTTACTGCAGGGGGGGGGCGCTGATGAGAGACCGGTTGAATATGCCAGTAGGCTACTAACTTCGGCTGAGCAAAACCATACCACCACTGAGAGGGAGGCCATCGCAATTGTGATTGGCGTCCAGCGATTCAGGGGTTACCTAGAGGGGGCAAAAGTCACAGTCGCCTTGGATCATCAACCCCTCAAATGGTTGATGACGCTGAAATCCCCTTCTGGGAGATTGGCACGGTGTGAACTCCGACATAGAGATCTGTGCGATAACAGTTAGTTTGCCTTCGGTTTCAGTAAAGGAACTACGAGACGAGCAATTGAAGGACGAAATTCTCTCCAAATTTCAACTTTATATCATTAGCGGTTTGGGCTGGGCGTTGATGTCAGTCGGGACATTGCCTTTTATATATAAAGATTTTCGTCTGTCATTTTTATATATTTAATGACTTAAATGCGAGCGAAGCCGCGGGTAAAAGCTAGTACAAAATAAAAAACAGATTATTTAGCTACTGCCTTCATCAAATTTCTCGAATGAAAAAGCAGAATGCTCTAAAAAAATGCAAAGGTGTGTGACACGTCCGTCTAGTGTAAATGTAAGGCTAGTAGGTGGGTGGCAAGATAAATTAATCGGGTCGCGGAAATTTGATCGAAAGACAATTGTTCGAAAAACAAATTATCGAAAGCATTTGATCGAAAAACAATTGATCGAAAAAACAATTGATCGAATAACAAATGACCGAAAAGGAATGAAGTTTCAGGATCGATTGGGCCGCATACATCTGTATGTAGAATTTCTAGTGGTCTTCTTGTCCTCTGTCTCGTTGTATTAAAAGGGAGTCTTGTTTGCTTTGCTTCCATGCAGACTTCACAGAAACCCATTTGACATTTCTTTTTATTCAGTCTCATGCCTGTCGATAGATCTATTAATCTTTTTATATTCTTTGTTCCCAAATGTCCTAGCTTTCTATGCCAGTCTTTTACTGAAGCATTTTCTGCAAGGTAACTCTCTTCCTTACTTTGATTTATACTAACCATATATAAACCACTTTCAATTTTTTTTCCTTCAAGTATTTTTTCATTGTTTTTCTTTATTACTACCTTTTCTTTAATAAATGTTACTTCACCATCATTCTCTGTTATAGCATTAACCGACAGTAGATTTTTGCTTAATTCGGGTACAAAAAGTACATCATTCAGTATACATGAACTTCCTTCAACTGTTCCTTTCCCTTCTGCCTTCATTTTTTCATCTTCTTTGCAACTTGTATGCTACTTTCGATATTTTCTAATGCTGTAAACATCACTTTCGAGTTGACCATGTGGGATGAACATCCTGAATCAACTATAAAATCTTGCGTTGTGAATCTTCTGTCTTCTGTAAGAAAGACTATCTTCTTTTTTTCTAATGATTTTGTCTTATCTCTAAAAAAACAATCTTGCTCTTTATGGTTTGTTTTCTTGCAAATCTTGCATTGGTTATTTGTCTTTTTGGGACAGTTATTTGCAATATGTCCAAAGCACCCACACTTAAAACATTTTACTTCGCCAGCACCCTTTTCTTTCCATTTTCGGCAAAATCTTGTATCATGCGAACTACTTTTACAATGTTTACAAAATCTCTCTGAACTTTTAAATGCAATATCTCTCTCACTTTCCTTGCTACGGTTTTCTTCGGATAGTAGTCTTGCTATCAATTTTGGTAAGGTTTTCTCATTATCTTGAGCAGATTCCCAGGCAGTCCTGAAGAAACCATAACTTTGAGGTAAAGATGACAGTATTTTTGACAGTAACATGTTGTCATCAACTGTTTGATTGAGACTTTTTAATTTGTGTGCAATACTCTCTATTTTGCTAATGTGAGTAGCCGTATCAGTACCTTTTCCAAATGTGTAGCTGTAGAACTCTTGCAGCAAATTACATATTTGTTCTGAAGTGCTTCTTTCAAAAATATTTTTGATTTTTTCGAACATTTCTTTGGAGGTCCATAATGTGCATCATGTACTTTTTGTCTATTGACGTTACAATTAGTTTTTGCGCTTTTGCATCATTTCTCACCCATTTAGTTTTATCTTCCTCCTTTTCCACACTAGATAGAAGCTTGTCTCCATTTACTATTCCAAACAGATCATAAGCCTTAAATGTTACTACTATTTGAAATTTCCACAACTGATACGTGGTTTCATCTTTAAGCTTTTCTATTAAATTCACCTCTTCTGTCAACGCCATTATTTTGTTGTTTTTTTTTTTTATTTTCTTATGTCACTGTCAAATATGTTTTCTTCCTTTTCGAGTTTTATTTCTCTCGTTAAGGTTCTAAAATTTCTTCTTCTAGCTTTACTGCCTCAGTACTTGTGAGTACTCTGGGCCCATAACCTGTTGTGATTTCGGGTTTTACTTTAACTTCTTTGCTTGAGAAAATGAGAAAATGACTTTTTTAATAATTTTTATTTATATATTTTTTTTGTTACATAGCAACTGTTCCTTTTTTTAAAGATAATTGAATATAAAATTAACACTCTTAAAAATTCATTCTCATCAAGATCAACTCATTAACATAATTATTTATTATTTGCGTAGACAGGATATTCTGCCACTTTGTGACATATCGACAGTCAGAAGATACTTAAAACAAATAAATGTCAAATGTGGTTTAGATGAAAATTTTTTTGTTGCTTTTTAAAAAAAACTTTCTTCAAAGAGTGAATTACAGAAACATGGAGTGCTGTTATTTGACGAAATGAGCCTGAAAACAAGTATTACTGTGAATTCAAGAACTATGAAATTTGATGGTTACACAGACTTTGGGGAAGATGTAAATAACTCACCAAATAAGGAATTAGTAGATCATGCCTTAGTTTTTATGTTTTCATCGATTCATGACTCTTACATACAACCTGTAGCGGTGTACGGAGCTAAAGGTATAATAACTGCATCTTAATTTTAGAGTAATTTGTTTTGGTAGTAGTAGTAGCTTTTATTTTTATAGGTGCCACTAAAGGATCTATTTTGGCGCAATTAATTGTGAAAGTTATTATAGAAATTACTAAAACTGGTGGAATTGTTCAAGGGATAATTTGCCACGGAGCTACAACGAACAGAAAAATGTGGACAGAGTTTGGCATATGTGGAAAAAACACAAATGTTGTTAAGAAATTTAAAAATCCTCTTAACGATAACTATATTTGCGTCTTTTCTGACACTCCACACTTATTCAAATGCATAAGAAACAGAATGCATTTATATATATATTAACTCACACCACATAAAATTTCTAGACTCCGTTTGGGAGAGTGTCTTGGGAATATTATCGAAAACTCTATGAACTGGATATAAAAAATCCTGGTAATTTACGAGTTTGCCCTAAAATTTCATTTACTCATATACATCCAAACAACTTTCTTAAAATGCGTGTAAAGCTAGCAACTTAGGTGATGTTGCATTTTTTTGTTTTTATGTCAATCAGTATTAAGATTGATTTTTAGATTTTTAGTAAATCAGTTGGAGATGGTTTGAAATTTTACAGTGAACATAAACCTGAGGAAATGGAAGATACTGGAGCTACAATAAAATTTACATATTTTCTTAATTCTTTATTTGATTCCCAATGCCCGTTTGCACCAACGTTACTTAAAATTTAAGCAGCTCTTAAGCGCAGAAATGCGTTGCACCAACATTTAACAAATGCTTACAACGCCCTAAGAAGTCCTTAATATAAGTAGCAGTTCATCGGCGACTTAAATTTGTTTAGCAATTCTTAAAAACCGAACAGAACCGAATGTGGCCGAGATCGGGTGGTTGTCATGGAAACGATCATAACAAAATTGAAATACACGCTTTTAAAAACAATCTGCAACATCCGGTATCTACCTGGACCGCAAAGTAAAATCCGAAATGTTTGTCTGGGAATCCGAAATTTCGGTACCATTCTCGCCATTGTGGCTGAATAGTGATAACGTGTTTTTTAATATTCGTTTAGTTTTGTTTTTTGAGAGCTGTGAGTAATAATAGTGTTGAATAAAAGTTACGGTAAGGTAAAATATTACCCAGTTAATAAGAAATATAATACAGCAATCAATTATTAATTATGTTTTAGATGAATACTAACAACAAAAGAACACGTGGCGCGAATTTTACGGCAGATGAGAGGGCTCTTGTTTTATCTTTAATTATTGATCGGCGTCACGTTTTGGAAAATAAAAAGACGGATGCCGTAACAAATAGAGAAAAACAGCAGTGTTGGCAAGAACTCACTGACGAATTTAATGCCCAATGTCCAGCAGGGGTGCTAAGGTCGATGATATCACTTCAAAAGTGGTACAACAACAAAAAAAAAGAGACAAGGAAAACTGTGGCGGAAAATCGAATGGTTTTTCGAAAAACAGGAGGCGGTCCTTCGGAAACGCAGGATGGTGGCCCAGAATTAGAGTTAACTTTAGCGGCAATGGATTCCACGACGGTGTATGGATTACCAACAAATTTTGGAGGAGACACCATTGGAGAATCGGAAGTATGATTAACAATTTTTTGTTTTACATGCTTGTTTAAAATGTGTTTATAATTGTAGCTTTTGTCAGATGATGAGGAAGATGAAGATGAATATGAATTCAGCGAGGAGGTAAACCCAGAAGATGTTAGTTCTAAATTTTAGTGTTTATTTCGATAATTTTTCTTTAAATATTTTAGTTTGCGAAACCACCAACTTTCAAGGGCAATACCATCTTTTATCTCAAAATCAGTACCACTACCAGTAACATCAAGAAGAATGAAATCGTTAGATGCCGGCCAAGTTGTATGTACTGTAACATGCGTTACGTCTTCCTGTGTTGGGCCGGGAAAAGAATAGTCCATCAGCCTAGTCCTGCTTGAGGTAAAAGTCCTCTAATGGACCTGTTTCTTCTGTCCTTTCCCCTTTCTTCATATCTTAGTTTTTCTTTTACCGATGGTAAAATTTCAGCGTTGTTGATGCTATAATCAACCACTTGTAGTTCAACCCTTCAGGTTGTTTTAGCGTAGTTGATGCTATAATCAACCAGGTAGTGCTGGCTTCCTCAGGCTTCACCGGAAAATTTTGCATTTTTTTTTTGTCGTTTCAACCCTTTCCAGCATTTATCTTTTTGCCGTAGTGCGTTTAGTTTTAATAACCAAAAATATTATTTTCATCATCGTAGCTCCCTCTTTTGAGTGAGTACGTTTCTATCAAGTATCGTTATCGGTTCTTTATCAATTTCGTTTTTAATTATCGACGACACCTTCGCTACGTCAGAGTGACGAGGTACCCCACTTTTAAGGCGACTTCCGGTCAGCGTCGTCTCCCGTCACTCCTGGAATAATCAGTAAGTCCCGGTTCACCACTCTGAAAATTTTCTTGCCGTCTCTTGGTCATTTTTCCACCAGGTGCTATGCTTTGTCTTGGCGAATTGTAATTGCTAATAACGAATCCATGTCTCAGTCCCTTCCGGTTTACGTGTACGCCGCTGGGCAGTGGTCACCTCCGACAGCGCATTGGTCACCTTAATATCTACCCCTACCTTTGAGACGATTCTTGGTTTTTAAGATTTTTCCGGCGACATTTTTCCGAGAGTGTTCACGGTGGTGAAGACTTGTGTCATTTTTGCGCACCAAATTTTTCGTTGCTTGAAAACCCTCAGCAGCCACTTGAGGGTTTTTCCTTTTCTTGTCTGGTACCGTGTGCGACGTCGAACCAAGCCAAGATTTTTTGACGACGCCATCTTGAAGGCGGCACGGCTTCTCGTTTGACTTTTTTGAAGCTCTCGAATTTGAGGACGGCCTGGAACATTTTCGCCGGTACGCCAGAAATAATTTACCGCTAATCGGAACATCACTATCTCTGGAAACGCCCAAGGTCAGATTTTTCCAATCTATGAATTTGCGCCCTACACGTCAAATATAGTTCCATCGCCCTTCAGGCACTATTCTAAAGAAGTATTCTTAGTTATAATTAATTCGTTGTAAACCAAGCTTACGTAAGCGCGGCCTTTAATTGTGTCGAAATAAGTAGTGTGAATATTTTAATCTCTTTTTTTTCTTTTTTTCTTTCTTTCTAATTTGATAAATCGGTTGTCCCTTACTTATGTATTTTTTTTTTTAATAGTTTGAAACTAAATTGGTAGTTGCTAGTTTCATAAAACATTTTATTTACTAACTACCTGGCGCCCACTAATCAGTCTCCCCCTTACATCCTTTCAATAAAATCGACTGCAAAGAGGTTAAATTTCGAGAGAACCTGCGACCCGCCGCCGAAACAACTGAGTGCCGTACGCAGTGGCCGCTTTTCAAAATTGGAAACGGTGCAGTACCTTGTATACACGCATTTTATTTTTACTTTCTTTATTTTTTTAGACTATATCAACTGATGCAGGCAATTCTGCGTCAACGCCAATCAAACGAAAATTGGATTCTTGTCCGGTTCAAAATCCGGTAAGTTATTCTCTATGCTGCTTTATGATTCCTACTCAAAATTTAATTACAGAATGTTCTCGAAAAACTCGACTGGGGCGATTATAAAACTGGCCATTTAAAAACACCCAGATCTCAACAACTGCATACCATTTCTTCGAGGAGGAGGCCTACACTACAGGCATTGCATTCTAGCCACATATCGAAAATGTATGATGAGTTGGCCAAGAAAAAATTGCAGTTAGCGGACGTGCAACTAGAAGAAATGAAAATTCAACTCGAAGAACGGAAAAAGGAGACGGAACGGAGGAAAACAGAATTTGCCCTAAAGAAAGAAGCTATGGAACTGGACATAGCAATAAAAAAAGAACAGTTAAAAAAACTAAAATTTACTAAAATATAGATTTATGATAATAAAATATTTAATGTTGCCTATTAAAAAAGTTTGTTATGTAACTCCTCCTAAACTCGTGTCCTGCTCCCCTTCTCTCCCGACCATTAATTGCTGCCGGAACTTCTGGAATGTTGCCAGCTTCAATCAACTGTTGTAATTCATGTTGGTTGATTTCTGCTGGCAATGGAGGGTCTTCTTCACCCCTTTCCCGGGCAATATTATGCAAGACTGCACAAGCAATTATTACTGCTAGCACAGTATCTTGTTTCAACCTACATCCGTAGGCTAGAATGGGAAATCTTCTTTTCCACACCCCAAATGTTCTTTCTATGACATTGCGAGTTCGAATGTGTGCTTCGTTATAGAGTTGCTCCCCTTGTGTTTGTGGATTTAACATTGGAGTTAAAAAATAGCGACGAACAGGGTAACCACTGTGTCCTATATACCAAAACAAAGCAATGAAATTACACAATTATCTATATAACGACTAAAGTTTACCTAAAATGATACAATTTGGGTAGATTCTCTGTTCAAAATCTCTTCTTATGTTAGAATTATTAAATATTGTTGCGTCATGGGTAGACCCAGGCCATCGAGCAACAACATTTATAAATTTCATTTCAGCATTGCACATAGCTTGCACATTTATGGAAAAATAGTCTTTTCTGTTGCGGAAGACTTCTGCATGTTCACCACCTTAAACATACCCAACAACAATATAAGTGGTAGCTCCTGACATAGATACTTCTATATAAATATTATACCTGGAGATTCAATTTTTATGTGAGTGCCATCAATAGCACCTATCACCCTTGGACATCGCGAGATTTCAAAAAATTTATTTTGAGTTCGTCGGAGTTCCATCCGAGTCCGTGGCATTTTAATTATCTGTGGATACAACCTTGCAATCGCTTCAGACACTTTCTTAACAATACGGGACACAGTAGACAAATGCATTCCCATATAATCAGCCACGCTGCTAAGATGCCCTCCTGTGGAAAATAGACGTAATGTCGTCAACAATTGGTTGATTGGTGCCACGGCTGCATTTCTATAAATATACAAATTATGTTTACGTTCGATTTGGTTTAATTTTATTATTAGTTATGTCTGTACCTGTCGTTTGGAAGTTCCAAATGATGTTCTATTTGGGCTAACAAATATAATACCGTTTCTTTGGTTAACCGAAACCTTTGAAAAAACTGAAGATCCGGCAGATCATGAAAATGATCGGCTCTTAAATAAATTTGTCGCGGTATTCCCACTTCGATTAATTCAAGAACTTCGAGGTCGTCCTCAAACGCATCAAAATCCATTTTTGTAATAAAATAAAGAACAACACTACAGACTACACGTGCATTAGTTAGGTTATTGCGATAAATTAGGTTAAACAAATGTCAGTTTTGTGTCTGTTACCAACAGAATTTGTTATTTCAAATAAAGTCACTAGCTAAGGATTGCTTTGTTATGCCAACGTTAAGATGCGTTGGTGCAACACCCAAGTACTTTAAGAACTGCTTAAAGTTAAAAACTTCTTAGCTAAGGAATGCTTAAATCGAATGTTCGTGCAAACGGCCATAAATAGGAAATCTTTCATAGATGGAATATATGAGGGTAGTAAGGATTTTGATGTAAGTATTCCCTATAAATTTGAGGCATTTTATTAATAATATCGTTTTAAAAACCAGGTACTACAAGATGCTTTGGACTTTCTCAATGTATGGGAAAACATGTTAGAGAAAGGGGATATCACTCAAAATCAATTTTTAACAGCTTCAACTTCAGAAGGTTTAAGAGTAACATTAACGTCCACAATCGAATTGTGCAGAAAACTGTTAAAGGAAGGATATACCTACGTGGTGACTGCCAAAATCAATCAGGATCATCTGGAGGTTTGTATACTCCCATATAAGAAAAATTATTTTGGCTAAAAGCAAAACCTCTCCCGCTTGTGATTTTTGTTTATATCAACGTATCAATTCCCTTACCCTTTTTAAATATACTTTTACCAAATTTTTTACTGCATGATAGAAATTTTTTGGTATAGTACGTCAAGCAGGTGGATGTAACGACCATCCAACTTTTTATACTTTCTTGAATTTGTATAAATTATTGTCAGTGAAAGCATTAATTCGGCCACCAAAATTTGGTAACTGTTCTATTAACACAGGTGTAGAAGAATCATCAAGTTTAATAACTTTAGCTTATATTAAATCCATTTGGAACGGTGAAAACAAAAATTTTAGACAGCAACACATAGAAACTATCAAGAAAAAATTAGATGGTCTAATTGCTTATGATGAATGGACGTCAGATATTTTTGATCCATGTGATGATCATGATTATGCGTCTCCGGAAGTCGCAGAATGTATAATATATTATATAAGCGGTTTTGTCTGCAGAAAAATGTTTAATATAAAAAGAATACAAAATTGTGCAACATGCGTTTCAGCTCTTCAAGATCAGGATAAATTATCAGCATCGTCCCTATCTGACTTGACACATACAAAGTCTAAAGGATATTTGATATACCCAAACAAACATTTTTATGGATTATTAAGTCATATGGAAAAATATTTTGCTTCACATATACTGACTTCTAACAATATTTATCAAGATACCCTAGAATATAGTTTTGACACCTACAATTTCACTTTTCCCTGCAATGAACATGGTCAATTTGTAATAGCCTATTTAATACATTACTTCATTTTGATGCGAATGAAACAGTTCTATTTGATGGAAAATAAGAAAACCGAAAATAAAGCCGCCACATTAAAAAAACAAGCCAAGTTGATTAAAATGTAATCAGTTGCTTGCCTTTTACAGTTTTGGACATTGAATTTCGGCAGTAATTTTCTGATATTTAAAAAAATCCACTGTAGTCTATACCTTACTGTCATTATGATTGACGTTTGAAAAAATCACTATACAAGTAACACTTCACTTTATTATTTTAATGTATCACATGTCACACTGCAAGTCAAAAGTTAAAATTTGGTTATGATAAATAAAGGCTATTTTAGAGTATGTGTCAGCTGAATAATGAGTCGGCCCGAAATTCAACGTCCAAAGCTGTACCATGTTTTGTAATTTGTATGTCTACTGCAAGAATAAATGAATTTCCTAAAAATTTATTTCATTTCAAAAGACGATATATTTTTTTCTTCACACAGGTACACACCAACAAAAAATGCAACAACAAGGTAAGTCTTTTGATTAATGATTGATAATTAATTCATAATTTTGATACATTAATAAGAGTTAAAAGAAATATTTGTTAAGTAGTAATCAATAAACCTCTAGTATTACTCATCTACATTTTATATGAGTAAAAAAATAATATACATAGATGGATCTGATGCACTCTTTCTCAATTTCAATTGATTTCTGTTGATATTATGTATATTAGTAAATTTAATTTACTTTTTTCTTTGAATTACCTATTTAGGCTGTTTGAAAGTCGGGTGCCGATCACGCAGCGCCTCTAGCGGGCCGCCAAAACATGCGGAAAGTAACTGGCGTCAACATTTTACGTAGAGGGCATACACAGTCCCTTCTCCTAAAATTCTATCCTCCTAGGTTCTGATGGACCTAACGTAAATAAAAAAATATTTGATTTACTGAAATTAAGAACTTAAAGAAGCTAGAGATAGAAAAGGTTTAATTTATCTAGGTAAAGTAAATAAATGTAGAGATGATTTAATATACTCATGAAATTTACATGTAGGTACTTGTCCAATTCACTGCATACATAAAGCCTTTTTAGAAGGAATGGAAAAATTTGGCGAGGATGTCAATGATTTTTTTCATTCTCATATATTATTATTTTAAAAAATATCCAGTGCAATGGCGAGAGTACTCAGAAGTACAGATTTTAAGCCATAATAATACCGCAACACCATTTTATTAAACATTGTTCAATAAGATGGTTAACAATTTTAGAAGCAGCAGTGAGAATTATAGAACAATGGTCTGCTATTTTAAGTATTATTTTAAAACTTACCTACCAAAGAACAAACGTGATTGTGAAAATGATAAATACAAGAAAATTATAAAGTTAATAAATAAGCCAAATTTCAAAGCTCAGATTTTACAAACAATACAGTATGCTAAACTTTTTGTAAAGTTCACAGGATATTTTCAAACTGAAGCACCTTTAATTCACGTTTTGCATACAGAATTAAAATCTCTAGTGATTGTAATAGCTAATTTTGTTTGTGTGATATTGTATGACATCTGAAAGTCTAGCAAAACATCCCAGGAAATGAGAGAACTGTTCTTGAATTTAAGAAGTCAGTTAGACAGCATTACATTATTGTAGCTGAGTATTTGCTGGATAAAAGTCCTTTAATGACTAAAAACCTGAAGTATTTTCAATCCATTGATCCCCAAATAATAAAAAAAATACGTTTGGAATATTTTTCTAAACTGTGTGAGACATTCAATATTATTATCCCAAGTAACGCTGTAGACGAGTACAGGTTATTAAAATTTGAACCACATTAGAAACGACAGATAGAATTGACAATTACTGGATAACATTTTTTGAAAGGGTGGAGAAGAACGTCGAAAACCACAAAAATGTAAAAAGGATTTTTCTAGTAGCATGTTGCTTAAGTCTTGGGAATGCTTCCGTGGAAAGGGGATTTAGTCGTTCGAAATTAACACAAACTAAAGAAAAAAACAATATGTCGGTGAGAACTTTAAATGCGAGGCTAAGTATCGCAGATGCTTTAATTTAAAGCATTTTGACAATAGACCAGAGATTGTTCCTATAACAAACGAACTCCTCCTTTTAGCAGGTGAAGCTAGAAGGCATTATCAAGATTATTTGGACGCGGAAAAATTGGAAACTCAAAAGGAAAAATCTGCCGATAAGTTGTTAGAAGAGGGTAATATTAGACTAAAAGCTGCCTTGGCGGCAAATAACACCATGGAAGCACGAATTGGGCAGGCCCTTATTGATGGAGCCTTGTCCTTGAAACAGGAAAAACGCGAAAGTGAAAAAAACTTCATATTTTTAATTTTTGTTATATTTGTGAGAAGATTCACGTTTTGTTTGTTTGATATAATAACATTTTTATCTGAATTATGACACTCACTTTTTTTTACTATTTTCCCAGCCGAACTTAGTTTTTTCACTTTTTTTAACACAAAATCTGTGTGGAAGTCCTGTGAAGTTCTTTTCGCAAAGTTAACAATGTCTCAAGTTAATGCGAACAATAACGCTTGTAAAGTACATATTCTGTTTATACAAACTGCAGGCCACCATCAAGCCTTGGCAAATGGCTATAATGCCAACACAATTTTATTTTAGTTTCTGTTGCTTTTGTTTTGTTTTGTTTTAGGGATGAACTGTTGCAAACAGTCTGCCACAACGCCAGTTTGGGTGACCTTAGTGATATGGTTACCTCTCTGCCTTTACCTGCTTCATTACAAAAGTGTTGCGTGGTCAAATACAACAAAATGTACCCTTGCGACCCTTTAAAAATCTGCAAAAAGACTTTAAACAATAAAGACACTGGGCAGAAAGAACGGCAGTTCAGAATAACTGGTTTGTGTTTACTCAATTTTTTGCTTTTCATATAATATAGCATTGCAGGAACAAGGTGCTACAGCTTTTTTACTTTCTCCAAAGATGCGGAATGAAAAACAAAAGCTCAAAAGTATTTCTATCCAAAAGATTTTAAGGGCAATCATGCCATCCGCTATGGTAATAGGCAACAGAAATTTGCTCGTGAGATCTACCGAGCCTCTCTCCCAGAATCTAAAGTTACCATAGAATATGGTTTAGCTGTCTGGCAGTGCAGTCCATGGTGGGCTTGCTCTCCAGATGGCATTGCTTTAAAGAACAAGCCAGTCTGATTGCTGGTTAGTTAAAAATTCTAAATAAACATATTTGGATTTCTTTTCTTACAAGACATGTTTTATGTAGGTGCTAAAAAACTGCCATTGAATGCCTGCCTTCTTTGGATTATATGGAAGTCACTGAGGATAAGAGTTGGCGATTAAAGAGAAAACATACATATATGGCACAAGTCCAACTTGGCATGTGTATTTGTAAATCTGCCATGTTGTGACTTTTTCATTTATAGTAGTTTTGACAAATCTTCTTATCTCTAAAGAATTGAACATGATGAAGCTTTTTACAGAGAGCTGTTGACCAAACTCCACGGTATTTTTTTCGAAAAAATGTTGCATGTTTTCTGTGAACCTTTGTAAATTGTATAAGTTCACATTGTGCATGTTTTAACATTTTTTAGTTGTAGTCCAAGCGTTTACTTAAATTGACTATTGGTAAGAATTATTTTATAAATTATTATTGATATATACTTGCGACCATTCGAATAAAACCACTCTCTAGGGTAAGTTTTTAAAAATTGTTTGTTGTAAGTCCATTTACGAGCCCTAACAACTAAATGTTCGGACAAACTAACCGGAGCGTTCAAAAACCACTCTTTATGAATTAATTTTTATTATCAAATCACATAAAAATAGGAAGCTAAGATTTCAAAGAATAGTTTTTAATAAAAAAGTTGAATGTTTTACTTTACATAGAATTTTAATTCAAATATGACTGTGGATTTTTCAGAAAAAGTGAATACACTTTGGCAACTAATTATTCGGACAAATAAATAAAAAAATTAATTTTCACTAAGTAGGCGGTGTGAATTGTTTGATTGTTAATAAATATCATTCTCCTCTTCCTGCTTTACCTAACTGTGTTGTAAGATCCATAGAAAAATATATATACTCTTTAACAAAATGGTTCGTGGACGTCCACTTGAAAAATCATTACGTGCACTTATTGTAAAGAAGTATTGCCAAGGTAAAAAAATTCGGGAAATTAGTGAAGAACTGAATTTAGCAAAGTCCACTGTAGCGGATATAATCTCACATTATCGCGAAACTGGTGGACTAGACGTTTAAGGAAAAAGTTCAGGAAGACCGAAATTAGTTTCAGAAACAAGTCAAAGGCTCCTTGTAAAACTTTGTAAAAAAAATCGAAGAAACCCATTGCGGGACATAACAGCACAATGGACGGATGAAATAGGGCATAAGCTGTCACGAGAATGTTGTAGGAAATGGATTCACAAGTCAGGATTAACTTTTTATAAGGTAATTTTTAAGTTTTTGGTTTACATTTGTTCCACCGTGCCGTTACAGGCCAAAGAAAAACCTTTAATAACGGCAAATCAAAAGAAAAATAGGTACAACTGGGCAAAGTCTAAGCTGGCATGGACCATGGAAGATTGGTCAAAGGCCATTTTTAGTGACGAGTCAAAATTTGATGTGTGCGTGGGAGATTTGCGGAGAAGAGTGATAAGATCAAAAAGTGAAGCGTTCAATGAAGACTGTTTAAAACGAACTGTAAAGTTTCCTAAAGGAATAATGATGTGGGCCCAGGCAACATGATGTCGTCTTTTTCACGTGAATAAATGGTCATCAATTACGTCATAGTGACCAAAGACTTCACGTGATATTGACGTACCAATGACGGTCAAATGTCTCGTCCAGATGACGTCATTTTCTAACGAACTTTTGACGTGATGTACTGACGTCTTAGTGTCGTCATTTTGTGACGAACTATTGACGTGATGCACTGACGTCTTAGAGACGGCATTTATTGTCCATTTTAAGACGTTTTTTATATTTTGATTTTTAGAAAAAAATATGCAATAAATAAAACGCTGATATAATTTTATATTTTTATATTTTTTATCTTAAATAAAATATTGTAATTCGTTATAATCACCAGGTAAACCCCAAAACAAAATATATGTTAATTAAAGTTAAAACAAATTAGTGTAAAAAATTAAATTTACTTCAATTCTGTATGTACAACCAACAATGAACTTCAATAAACAAATAAAAAAATATATGTCAATTAAACAAACCACTCCTAAGAACATAAACAAATCTACATACAGGTAATTACGAGTATAATTGGTATAAACAAAAAAAAAGGATAATATATAATATACAATCAAAAATAAACGTTGCAATAAAATATGCTATTTAAAGAAAAATCAGTTTTAAAAACACAAAGATATCTATTTAGTTACAAAGAATATTAAAAGAAAACTATAATAAATTATAAATCAGTCTTAAAAACACAAACAAATCTATTTACAAAAAATATTTAAAAAAAACTAGAATAAATGGAAAAGATAATTGAATCGCATTGTTATAGTTACTTGATTTGAAAATGCACTGTAAAACTTTCTAATTCACGACGACTTGACTGTCCCCAACACACAAAAAAGTACCGTTAAGAATTAATTCTGTTTTAACAATCATATTAATAACCAAAGTTTTTTAAGTTTGCTTCAATTTATTGCACTGAAAAAAAAAACCGTTAGAGTACATGGATTAATGGAAATGCAATAATTTTTTCGTCTATGGGCAACAGCAAACATTTGGCTATTATTAAATTTAAAGGATTACAGCTTAAAGCAGAAGACAAATTCTGCGTTTTAAAAATGCTAAATTTACTTGAATTTAACGGATAATCGTAAAATGGTTGCATTGACAAAAACGCATACCCGACAAAAACGCATACCCTATCAGGAAAATTTCGTTGTCAATAATTTTTTACAATGAAGCGAAATGTGCCATGTATAGTAAGTTACCAAAAAGTATCGTGGTGTTACAGGCATCTACCTGTATATAATATCCAATGTTATATGTTATATATGTATATATGAATTCATTGTATTTTTTTAACTTACAAAGAAATCTGCTTGTTCTAATAGGCAAAAATAATCTTGTAATTCGTCAAAATTTGTTTAGGTGTGGTCTTGGCGGCATAACTTCTATTTTTGTTTTCTTTTTCAATTCTCAGATTTGATGACGTTTTCATGTTAGAGATTTTTTCACTCGTTTCCTTTAGCATTTCTTTCGTTTCGCACATGTGTTTTGTATTTGTTTCAAATCTAGAATAAAATTATGTTCATTAGCATTAGTTCATAAAAATTTGCAGTAACATACCTTTGCAATATTTTATGGCGCCTCATTTTCAAAAACAATCACCGTAAGTTCTTCATAATTAGTGGGAGTATCTTCAGTGATTAATGGTGGTCTTTCCAGCTTATCTGAAAAAACTGCTTTTGTTATCTACGTACAGTTATCAAAAATAACAGAAACATGTAAAAATTAAAATGATTACTTTATTAGATTTTAACTTACCTAGTGTAAATAAGTACAACCCGACTCTGAATGGCAGAAATTTTCACAAAACTGTGTTAAAAATGAAGTGAGTAACGGATACACAAGAAAGCTTCGGTGGTTGAGACCCAACTGGAAATATTGGAATGAGTCACTGTGAAGTGCAATAAACATAAATACCGAAAAAAGGGAAAGTCCGAATGCACGCCTCAAACATCTGATGTATTGTATAGTAAATACGGAAGTTAAGCATTATTTTTTCATGCGATGAAATAAATTTAATAAAACTAAATATTAAATCACTCTCTAATTTTTTTGGTAACCATCATCACTTTATAAACGTCTTTATAAAATCAAAATTCGACGAAGGAATTCTTCAAAATCTTGTCCCGTTGTAGGGACAATAGACAAAGAATTTCCTAGGGTCCTTTCACTATTATACGGTCAACCCCGGATGTTCTATTTATAATTTGCCAAGCAGGTACTTACAAAATAACATTTCCAGAGTAAACAAATTTTCAGAAATTAATTATTTTATTAGAAATTATTAGAATGAAAAAACTTGTGTTTGGTGTATTTCTAATAAAGCCGTTGTATTTTTTGCTCTAAATATAATTAAGCATTATGAAGGCCACTTTTTAAAGAATACGACCACCCACATCTAATTGATCATATAATCTATAAAAAATGACGAAAAAAAGACGGCCTTTTGACGTCATTAATTGACGTCAGAAGTAAGTCATAAAAATCTCGTCATTATCACGTGATTTTTTGGGCGAATGACGTCGCCGACGAGTTATGACCAAAAATTGACGTGAATTAGACGACAGTCTGCTGCTTGGGGGGATGCATGTCAGCTAAAGGGCTGGGGAATTATGAATTGGTGGAAACGATTATTAACGCCATGAAATACCAACAAATTTTAGAAAACAGTTTGTTGCCCTCTGTTGAAAAACTGTATCCGGACAACGATTATATTTTTCAACAGGACGGTGCATCATGTCATACCGCAAAAAGTACTAAGAAATGGTTTGGGGATCATGATATAAGAGTCCTTTCATGGCCTGCGAACAGCCCTGACTTAAATGTCATTGAGACACTTTGGCACGACATAAAATCCGTTTTGCGCAACAACCCCCAACGAACACTCTTAGGTTTAAAAGCAAAAATCGACGAAGTTTGGGCAAGTTTTACTCCTGAATACTGCAGAAGTCTTGTAAGTACTATGCCTGCAAGGATACGCGCAGTAATCAAAGCAAAAGGAGATGTTACACCATACTAAGTAAAAAAAAATACTCATGTCCGAATATTTAGTTGCCAAGTTTATAAGTTCATATCAGCTTCTTGTTGTGTTATAATTTTGTTAAGTTAATAATATTACAATTTTTGTTGAGAATATTGCATTAAAGATACCTACTTATATATTACTCTAGTTTTGTTTTTGTAAAATACATTTTTTTTCATTAAATTACATTTTTTTGTATAAAAGAATACGTGTCCGAACATTTAGTTGTTAGGGCTCGTAGTGGGTTCAAATTGATCGGTTGCTACCCAACGACACAAAAAACGCTTCAGTTACCAACCTAACTTTTTATCAGTGGTTTTATCCAACTGGTCGCAAGTATAGTTTAACAGGAATTAAATTAATACAAGCAGGATTCAGTACTAAACGTGTTTATTTTTACCCTGCAATCCTATTTACATAGAGTCCAGTCAGTATTTATCCCTAGATAAAATTGGTTTTGACAAATTTGTTAAAGCTACAATTACAATAACTATTTTGTTGATATTCTTTAATAATTTAAATGGTAAAAGATTTCGAACTATTCGAAATTGTTTGACTTTTTGAATACTGCGTTCCACATGAACTCTAGCTCTTGCTATTTCAGCGGTTTTTGGTGCTTGTGATTGTGTCAACTGTTTTTGTTTCTTTAAAAAACGGCGGCCGTATTAATGTGATTTCCTTGTCAGTACATTCTTTGTCAATTAAGAAACCATGATGCATCCGCCAGGAGACAACATTGAAATTAGATTTTCTTTGTCGAATATGGCTTTGTCTGAAGGTCTACCACCATAGGCGCTGCTTAAAAACGCTATATTTACGGAAGGTGCTACCCCTATTAAAAACTTTAGTGTGTGCTTACTTTTCGAAAAAGAATAACATCTAATTCTACACTTTAATCATTTAGATTTTTGTATCTCCAATTCCGTACAGTCAACCATTGTGTCCGTAATTTTTTTTCCAATTTTTAAGGTATCCTTGATTCGACAGCCATAATGTTTTTTCGCAGCGCCCCCTACAGTAAGTTTTCGTGCCGGTTTATAACAATGTCGGAAATTTTAACCCTGTATTTCATACTGTTCGTATTTGGGAACGTGGTAAAAATAAATACCCTGGTTGTTTTGTTTTAATTTTGCAAATTTAGTCGTGATATAGGTTTAGCCACGCTACAGTTATGACGTAATGCTAATAGATATCATCATGTATATATAGGTTTAATTTGCAATTGAAATCAACGTGTGCCTGTTCAAAACTCTAGATATCGATGGCTTATTGTTTCTGTGATTAAAAAGAAGTTTTTTAGAGTGATTTTGTACAGTATTTATATTTCGTCAGTTGGATAAACGTGTAAGGAATGAATTAGCGTCATACAATTATTGTATTCTTTACTTGATTACTACGATTTTTCATCTAAACTTCACTATTGCTCAAAATTTCTAAAATTTTATTATCGCAAATCTGTAAAAGATACAAATATCTTTTACAGATTTAGAATGAAAATCTGAAATAAGCACTGGGCGCATTTTATGGCCGAAAACGAGTAGAAGTTATTCGTGATATTCCTTCTGATAGCGAGGTTTCCTAACCATCAGGTGACGAGGATGAAGAACTTGCCTACCTACATGGAGATCCGTGTCTCCGGCTTTAGCGCAACCCTGGTGCTCCCTCTCCGGAGGGGAAGCTGGAGCCCGAGCACCGCTGCTCCCGACCTAAAGCGCCACCCACGGTGGCGTGAAAGTGGTCTTAAAGCCTAGGTCGGCCAGACGTGTTTGCTCTCAGCGACACTAGTCGGTCTAGGGCTTGGCATTGAGGTACACCACGAAACTTGGGACCGTCACCGTCCCCCTGGAGTTTCGTTGCAATCCAAACAGTCGTATTTAAACTACTCCTATTAATATAACAAATCTTGCCCTTATGATTTCTCCCTTATAATTTTACTCTTATAAGCATCACCACATAGTACCAAAACGCTACGCCAGACCCTCTGTACTATCGCTAGGGGGAAACTATTGATGGTACGAAGCAACGCTTCCCTACTACCACCACCCAGGCATCTAAATGGGCTGAGGTCATCGCCGTTCCTATTGGGCCAAGAACTTAGTAAAACAATGCCAGGAGACGGCCAGAGTTCTAGAATTCTGCGTTATACAAAACAGATGCCCCAACTGCAGCAAAAAACCGGCAATCACCACGGTGTCGCTCGATTTTTGTTTACAACAAAGTGCACAATAAGCGCGGACGCAACACCTGGGCTCGATTCTACATCGCCTTTGTCGGCAAGTGAGCTGACAGAAAAACCGAACCCCGTCAAGCAACTAAAGAACAAGACGTCCGTCTTTCAAACAAAACGAAAAGACATCTCCCCGTATCGCAACCGGCGGGCCCCAGGACACGCCAGCCAAGCCGGTTAGGGCCATCAGCGAGCAAACATGATCTCCACCAACGGCGAGGTGGGAACCGAAGGCCTAGACGGGTGGTCATCGGACGAAATTCCCTGCCAAACTAAGAAGAAGCGGGCAGACGCCGACTTGGACGCCCTACACCACAACACTGACTGGTCCCCGCAGATCCGCCACAATCCGAGTCGACCCCGAGCCCGGAGCAATCACTGCCCAACTTGACACCGACACGCGACCAGTTCCGCCCCTGCCGCCGCCGCTAAAACTGAAAAAACGTTTCACGCCGCTAGAGCCGATGGAGGCGGAAGCAATTTATACTAAAAGCAGCAAACCTGAAGATCATAAAGGCTTTCAAAGGCTTCTTTTAGCTAACGCCAAAGGGGGTATACCCTTAAATATACCAAGAGAAGAACAACCATACAGGTAAACAATAAGAAAGGTTGGGACTCCCTCCCCCGCCAACTAGAGCTGCAGCAAATTAGTCACCACACATATACCTGTACGGAGGACAAAACTCACAGATTTGTCCTAAAAGGCCTCGACTTCGAGCCAGACGTCGAGGACCTGAGAGAAGAGCTTGGTGAAGAACACATTCCGTGCGCCAAGCTCTGTAAAATGAGAGGGACAAAAAGACCCGCGTACCTGGTAGTAACCATTAAAGACATCACTTTGAGTCTACAAACGCAGAAGTGTGATCAGAACCTGACTGAAATATCTATTTTGTTTATCTAGACCAGCGTTGCCAGTGCACATTTTCCGAGAAAACAAATTTACTGACTCAAACCGGCGACAAAACCACCAATTGGAAGATGTTGGTCACAACAGTACCTGTAACCCTAATAGGTAAGATTCATACGACACACTGGGGTCGCTTATCAGGTGCAAGAGACTCACGCACGCTACTAGGGATCGACTTCAACAAGTCAACCGGCCTAGTGATCGACTACGAGTCTCAAAGATGGCACTTTAAAGGAAACCGGCAAGACGTGACATTATGTCCAGAAGACGAAGCCGTAGAGCTGGAGGAACGTAGAAGGGACTTAAGCTGTTCGTGCCCAGTGGTTTCAGTTTGAAACTAATTTGTTTATAATTCCTACAATGCTTCTCAGTGGTTTCGGCGCGAAATCGCATTATCCATAATGTGACTCGATTTTTTTTGAACAGCAGAAATTTTTTGCTTCCAGTATGGCGATCCTGTTACTGTTATTTGGCCATCAGTTGTGTTGCTGGTAATAAGTCCTACACGACTGTTTGATGGTTGCCGGTGACGCTTTCTGGTTGTGTAGGACTGGAGTTAGTTTTGTGACTGGAATAGTGTTCGTTTCGATCTATTGACTCGAAAATTCTGGTACAATCGAAACACAGCAAATTTTCTTTGACAGGTTCTACATGGGTCCCAAGCATTTGATAAAGAAAATTACTAGTCTCGCGCTATCTTTGTCTAGCACATAGGTTAGGTTCCTTTGTCGAACTCCGGACTCGGTAATTCGCCGTATTTTCTAAAAGTAATAATACCTATGTGAAAAAAAATGAGTGTCCTATCAACTGCTTTCGACTTCAAGTTCTAAAACTATATAATTCTTATTTGTAAATGTCAAACTAATTGCTGTTTCTGAAATAACGTTTTAATAAAGGCAGGTAAATACATTATAATGATGATTACTTATGATAATTAAGACATTAAAGCATGTTAGTGTAGCCCTTTGATGCGAATTATATATTGAGTAACATTATTTTTGCTGATGACGATAATCTAGACAATATTGACCTCCTTTCCAATGAAGAATACGATTCAGATGATGAAATGCCACTTTCTGACCGAAGGAAAAACATATATTACAATAAATTATGATATTCCAATTTTTCCTTTTGCAAAAAAGTTTGGCCCAAAAAACATTCCAGATGAAACAGACGCCTGTTGAATTTTTTAATTATCTATTTCCAAGTGATCTTATCGCGCACATCATGTTCCATCCAAGTTTATACGCTTCACAGCGATTTGGGGATCCCCTAACTATGTTAAAATTACAAAAAATGAATAAAGAATGTCTTTGGTAATAAATAAAATGAGTATAAAAAGACTCCTAGCATTGAAAGATTATTGGTAGAGCGATGACTTTAGAGTGATAATGAATTGAGAGACACCTATATTGCTAGCCTTATGCACAGTTTGGTTACGTGCTAATAGTTTCGGATACGTTTCAGTATTTGAAATTTACACTGGAAAAATGGAAAATAATGCAAAAAAAAAACCTCGGTTCAAAACAAACTCCGATTGAGTTGTGGCACCGAAAGGAATGGGCAAATAATCTGGATCATTAGCGAGTTTTCGGAACGAAGTGTTTTGTGCACACGCCAAATCAGCAGAGAAAAAGTGGGACAAGAAGAGTACGGCAGGACTGTTAGTTGGTTACTGCGGTCAAAAAGACGGTTTTCGGGTCTGGATCCCACAAAATAAAACTGTTATGACCAGTCGAAATGTTGTTTTCGCAAGTGAAAAAATCACGCACAGGAAAGTGACAACGGTCATCAGTAACATTGAAAACGCCCCAGAAGACTTCGATGAAGATGAACCGGAACCGGCGGAAGAAATCGAAAAGGTCGACGAACACGACGAAGAAACACGAGTAAAGCGTAGTGCAAAGAAACCGGCCTACTTAGAAGACTACGTCTTATTTGCAGAATGCGATCTACCGTCAACGTTTGCATCTGCGATATCGTCAAGTGACTCCGATAGATGGCACAAAGCTATGGACGAGGAAGTGGAGTGGTTGAACGAAAACAACACGTGGGAGTTGGTCATAGAAAACCCTACAAGTGAGGGTATTCTATGGAGCTGGTGAAACTACCGATAGGGAAAAGGGTTATAGACAATAGATGGGTGTTTCGTGTAAAAACAAATGCGGAAGGTAACGCGGAACGTTATAAAGCGCGATTAGTGATAAAGGGTTGTAATCAGAGACCGGGCGTCGATTATGAAGGAACGTTCCGCCCTGTCGCACGTTTTGACACAGTGCGGATACTATTAAATGTTGCAGCCGTAACCTCAAGATTAGACAGTTCGATATAAAAACGGCCTTCTTATAGTCTGCAGGAAGAAGTCTACATGCGCCAGCCCGATGGTTACGATGACAACACCGGTCGCGTGTGTAAACTGCATCGGAGCCTGTACGGCTTGAAACAAGCGCCACGATGTTGGAAGAAACGACTGTTAAATTTTCTAAGTAGCCAAACGTTTGTTCAAAGTACCGCGGATCCGTGTCTGTTTTCGCGAGTTCGTGACGCGAGAGAACTGTTCGTCGCAATTTATGTGGACGATGGACTTATTGTCGGAACAGACGAAAAAGACGTCTCAAATTTTGTGGACGTGCTCAAGCGTGAATTTAAAATTACCGAATATAAAGCAGAATGTTTTTTAGGATTGCAGATTGTAAGGCAGGAGGATGGGTCTCTTTTTATTCATCAAACTGCCTACATAAAGAAGTTGTTAAAGAAACTCAACATGATGGAAGCCAACAGTGTTGCAATTCCTATCGAGACAGCGAGGTATGGAAACAGCGAAGCCTCAGCCCCCGTGAACGTGCCATATCGCGAAGCTATAGGTGGCCTTTTGTATTTAAAAACCGGCACCAGGCCAGACATTGCCTTTTCAGTAAGTGTTTTGTCCGAAAAGGTGGAAAATCCCAAAGAAAAGGACTGGGTTGCTGTGAAAAGAGTCTTCAGATATCTGAAAGGATCAGTGGGGATGGGTTTGCTGTACAAATTCTCTTGCGAGGACACAAATTTGTCGGTGTACAGTGATGCAGATTATGCAGGAGATCCAGTGACGAGACGGTCAAGGTCAGGTATTTTATGCATGTACGCTGGAGGCGCCGTCATTTGGTCTAGCCAGAAACAAAGAAGTGTCGTCCTATCAACAACAGAGGCTGCATATGTTGCAGCAAGCGAAGCCACGAAGGACGCAATATGGGCAAACCGGCTTCTCTCTGTGTTAATAGATACATCTGAAATCCCAACTCTCTTCGTAGATAATGCAAGCGCAGTAAAACTTGGAAAGAACACTGAGTTTTACAAGCGATCAAAGCATATCGAAGTTCGATACCACTTTGTAAGGGAGAAGTATGAAGAACAGCAGATAATGTTGTAGCACATAGAAGGTAACAGACAACTGGCTGACATCTTCACCAAACCCCTGAGTCGGTTGAAATTCGAACACATCAGAAAAGAATTAGGAATGACGACAGTTTGAAATATTGGGAGGAAGTGTTGAAGGACAAATTTCAAATTGCGCGCACAATCGTTCCCAGCATTCCCACCGTGCGCTGTGAAGTAAAGTCCCTAGATAACCAAAGTAGCGCAATTGAATGTTTCAATGTGTTAGAGAGAGAACGTGTATTTCGGACACAATATGGCGACCGACAAACGTCAATGTTAATTGTCAAATGCTCTTTAACGCATCACCTCGTGGCGTAAGTCCTGTTTTGCAAAGTTGTTTGTGTTTTTTTGTGGTGTTTTATGGCTTTTATTTTAAAATGCCAAGTTGTTGTGTTCCTTTGTGTGGAAATAAAAGCCGATTGTTTCGTCTTCCAACAGGTAGAGGCTTTTTTTCGCGAGTTCGCGTTGAAGTGAAAGTCACAACGGTTACTTAACCGGTCCGTTTTTGCGACATACGGTAATTGAGGGGAAGGTGTTGTGATGTCATAGAAAGGCGTCATCGTTTAGAACCGTGTTATGATTTCAGTAACCCTGCTCAAGAGGTGAGTTACAAAATAGCGGTTATGAAAAGTGAGGTATGTTTTAAGATTTTACCGACAATAATGGGTGAAGAGAAGTTGGTTGAAATTTCGATAAATCACGAGGGGGAGGATTTTTTAGCATTTGTCAGATTGGAAACTGCAAATGTATTGTTGAATGGTGAGTGTTGATGTTGTAAAACATAACAATAATAATTATTATCTTTGTAATTAGATCCAGAGGCAGCTTCAAACTATGTTAGAAAACATCTTATTAGCGAACAACAAAATGCACAACACTCAGATAGTAATACTGGTGTCATCAGTGTGTGGTCAACAAAAAGGCCAAGTGTAAAAGACAGTAAGGCTACAGAAATATTCCTGGAATTACGCCAAAAATATGCCCACGAATTTGATGACAAAAAGCATGTGAAAACGCAATTATGGTGCAAAATTGCTCGTGAGATGTATGCATTGGGATTTGATGTGGGCACTGGACGTGATGCAGTTGAGAAACTACGACAGAAGTTTTCCAACCTCCAGAAGCAATACATGAAACATGTCACGCATATGAAACGGACTGGCGAAGAAAAAAAAGAACCACCGCCATTCTTTTCAGAAATGCATGGTATCATGAGCAATAAACACAAAAGTGACCCCAAAAATTTACAAGACACTCTAGAAGCCTGTAGTAGTAGTTCAGTACAAGAGAGTGAAACTGATGATCTATTAGCCCCAGCCTTCGTCATGTGATCAAGAAAAGAAAGAAATGATAAAAAATAGATTCTCATTGAACAAGATTAGAAAGCCATCCACTTCAAATGTCCAATTAATTAATCTGATGCAAACGCAACATGAAGATGACAGAACAAAGAGGAGGGAGCAGTTTAACAGCAGAATGAACAACGAGAAAGGCTACTAAACACATTTGATAGCTTAATTCGTCAGAAAAAACGTAAGCACAATTCAGATTCAGACTCGGACTAGTTGTCTGAAGCTGTTCTCACCCTAACTAATGTGGACCTCACATGTTCTCATTTTATTTTGTTTAGAAAAGTAGATATTAGTATTTTTGTTAAATGAAGAACATATACTTTTTTTATATATACAGGGTTAGTCACGAGAGAATTACTTCTGAAAATTATTTTTACGCAACCCAAAATACGAATACCGTGTACCACTTGATACTAACTGAATTTAAAATGAAATGCTTAATCCATGATTGCTTTGAGTTTGGCATCTCATTTTGACAATTGTTGAAAAGGAGGTTACGCGAGTGTCCATGGTGGTACCGCAGCCAGTCGGCGATCTTCTTCGGCGCCGCTAATAAATTTGTCAGTGTACCTCTTGATTTTTTGCAACCGATTAATCACGAGAAAATTATTTCTAAAAATTCCTTTTACGACATTTTATTCAAAGGTTACAACATAAACTCAAACAAGTAAGTAAAGAATTTAGGGCCAATTCTAAATTAAACCCGTTAAAATTTAAAGGTTGTTAAAAAAGAAACAGCCAATCAGATTTACGAATTTAACTCGTTACTATGGAAATTTGCAATTTAACACCCTTTAAATTTAACAACTTTGATTCAGAATTGCCCCTTTTAACTACTAATCTGTTGAAAATGTTTTTTTTGTAAATGGATGGTCGAAGAAGCCCAGAGGTTGCAGATTTGCACTTCGAAGAGGTTCTAGGTGACGCAGAGATGGCGAATTAACGCATGAGCATTAGAGGGGAACAATATTGGTAGAGTACTTACGGCTTCAGTATAGCCCAGATTGATCTGACCGTATGTCGTCGATCCAATGGGGCTCTAGAGCCGAGTCAACGATGAAAAAAAATGTTAAAAATTAATTAACGTCAAAGTGACACTGCCAGAGTCAAAGCAATCATGGATTAGGCATTTCATTTCAAATTTAGATAATATCAAGTGGTACAGGGTATTAGTATTTTGGGTTGCGTAAAAATAATTTTCAGAAGTAATTTTCTCGTGACTAACCCTGTATATATTTTTATTGTTCAGTTACATTAATATATCATATTATATATTATTCTCATTAACATTATTCATTAAATACCTTGCTATATCATTTCTCTTATGTTCTCCACGCCGAAATGCTTCTCTGTCGTTTTCTTCTACGTGATCTTCTTCTGGACGAATTTCTACCTCTTCAGCCGGCCACTCATCCCCATTCAGGTAACAAAAATTGTGCAAAATACATGCAACTGTGGCGATTTCAATAGCTTTTCTGACTGAGTATGTATTTATGTATTGTAATCTAGCCCATCTCCCTTTGAGAATACCAAACGTATGTTCAATGCAAACTCGATCCGAACTTGAACACCAATTATGATGTCTTTCCCTTCTGGTTAAATTATTTCTCCTAGAAAACGGTGTCATAAGCCACGTTCTCAAAGGAAAAGCGCTGTCTCCTATTAAATGATCCTCTTCATTGGGAAAATATATATGTTTTCCATGTTTCAATATGTCTCACCAGTGCACTATTTGAAAACACCTACAAAATAAATGAATGGCCATTACATTTTAACTTCTTGTATTTAATTCTTACTCTTGAATCATGTGCTGACCTTGGATAACCAACAAAAACATATGTAAATAAGGTTTCAGCATTGCATATTCCCATTAAATTGATGGAATACGTTTGGTGTCTGTCAATATAACTATCATGTTGGTTTGCTGGTACCTTCAGTTTAATATGTGTTCCGTCGACTGCACCAATCACATCTAAAATATTACATAAACGTGAGACTTTTTACTTACATTTCTTTCAGATTTAATTATTTACTAGGATATCCTTTAAATCCATCCTTAATTGCACGATATTCATCTTCAGTTTTTGGCCAAAATATGTACTTCTTTTTTAACTGTAGTGTTAGGTATTAGTGATGCAGAAAAAGTAACTATTCGTTACTCTAGTATTCGGTACCCGAGAAGATCCGAAGTAACGAATACTCACATGAGAAAATATTCGTTACTTATGCAATCAGGTACTCCTCGGATCTCTGCTGACTGCCGAGCGCAGATCCGATGTTAGTTTATAATAAAACCTTGAACTGTTTTATCTACGCATGCTCCCATGCTCGGCAGATTTCTAAGCTAAATATTGAAGTAGGTATCTACTTGCTGAATAAATTTTAGCGTGGCGCCCTCTAGACATGAATTTCATAAATAGGTTTAAAAATAGATAGTTTTCTACTCTGCATGTGCTTCTTTTTTAAATGAAATGTTTTTCCCCAAAATTGAGGTTATAAAAATATGTTAATCCCCGAGATTGAAACGCGTACCCGAGGCTATAAAAGGAACCGATGCTGATTTTTCTCCATTCATTATTTCATTAGCAGTTCGTAGTCTAAGAAAGTATTTGTGATTTTTTTATTGTGAATTTAGTGAATTTATACCAAAAGGTGAGTGCTAAATAATTCATATTATTAATTTTAAGCAGAATAATTACTATTTAGTGTAGAATATGTTTTCTTATTTTTATATATTACGATTACGCATTTTTTAACTGTCAAATATTTTGTATATTTTTTCTTTATAATCTATCCAATACAACACCCTTTTTTTGATTATTATTCCTAATCATCTATTTTTTTTAATGTGCAAGTAAACGCGAAGAGATGGAGTAACGAGAATCGAGAGCGAGTAATGAATACCTAAATATAAACAGTCACAGAGTCCGAGTACCGACTACCGACCGACCGAACGCGTCTAGGCGTCTATCGTCCGGTCCGAGAGAAGGAGTACTTGTAACGAATATAAAGTAACGAATATTGTACTTGAAAGTAACGAATAGTTACAAGTACCGAAATGTAACGATAACTTGCATCACTATTAGGTATAGCAAACTATTAACAATATTCATTACAGTGGAAAGTACCAAATCAAAGTGATCAGCAATTGACAACAGTGTGTCTTGTCTTGATAAAAACCATAAAAAAACAAGTACACTTTTCTCTGGGGCAACAGGGTAGCTACCACCTCTGTATTTCTTTCTAATTAAATTATTCGTATCTTGTGCAATGAGAACATCAACGAATTTTCGAAATGTTGTCCTTTGCATCCTAAATAATTCATAAAATGTTCTGTCGTTGTATGCCTCTAACCAAACAGAATGATCAACTGTTTGTCGTATATGTTTTTCCCTAATCTTCCAAAATATCTGCTTTCTCTTACGTCCAAGTAGCTGTTCATAATTAACTACAATCGAAGCATCGGAGAAAACTAAATCGATTAATACAAACAGATCCACATTATTCATGTACGGGATTAACGCCATTATTTTATATAAAATCTACAAAAAGTACTTCATTCATTAAAGCAATATCCATCTTTATGTATGTACTTACGTGAATTTTTTTTTTGTCTGACATAAATCCTTGCTGATTTGTTGATTACATTACCACTTTTGTTGAAGAAAATAAAATGTCAATTTTTTCCCCCCTATATGAGCTTACGTACAACATTTTTGCGGAGACTCAGTAACCGTGTTCTAAACTGACGTCATACGAAGAGTGGGGGTATAACACTTCGTAACCGCTATTCTACAACACGGTTAGTCGCGAAAAAAAGCCTTAGGTTACAACTGAGTTTGCAATTGTAGTGAATTTATTTGAATTCAAATCTGGCGCCGGATTGTTTGACATCTCGAGAGAGTGGAGCGCCCTTTGGAGAGACGCGTGACAGAGAGAGGGGGACCGGTTGTGTTAATGTGTTAAGAACGTGTAGCCATTTTAGTCAATATAATTTATTAAATGAAATTATGGAAATTTTATGTGTACTCCCCTGCCATCGAGAATATTGAGCCCCCCCCTACACAACGAAGAAAACACGTCAAATAAGCGTGAGAGAACGTGTACATTGTACAAGCACGCTACTACACAGCTAGTTAGCAAACATGTTTCGAAATTTGGAACAATTACCAGGAAATTCGGGCACCCACACTGCCTTGTGAAATTAGACGATGGATGCACCTTTAAAAGTCACATTGATCAACTACGGTCCACAGAAGTTCCACCACCAATATCAGAAAAACAACTAAAAAATGTAGAACCAGTGGTATCAGAAGCACGAACTAAAAACGAATCGGATATTTGACGATTATTCAACCAAATATTCAAAATCAAGACCAAGGCACTGAGGCAAACCAAACCGACGTTCCAGAGGCCACCAACAAGCGAGAAGAGATTGAAGAACCACTATCAGGACATCTTCAGGATTTTATACTTAAAATTCAATGTTTCAATTACACTCCAAGTAAGCGTTTTACTTGAAAAATTAAAATTTTTTTATGGTGCTGAAAGTAACGAAGTTGTCAGCATAGAAACTGCAGCTACAGCTTTCTTGTGTAGGCATTTAATTAAAAAAGCCAGTGAATCTGAGGTGCGATTTATGTTTTTCAACAGTAAG